AAGTTGGTCATTCATAATTATATCTGTATTTTTAATTTGTTTGTTTCCATAGATTCTAATAATAATAGCATAAAGCCTTTATTCTGAATGTGAAGAATTTGAAATTGGTAGACGGTGAAGTGGGTAACTATAATCTGTTATTTTATTATTGAAATCGATGTTTCTCTGTTTTTCTTTTGTGTTTTGCTATCCGTTTGTTAAAGGTTCTACTCGTTTGATCGATGTAAGTTTTGAACAGTCGCCACATGTAAGTTTGTACACACCACAGTCTAAGTGCTTGTTCTTTTGGCTCTTGTTCTTATTACATAAGAACGCATACTTATAACATATTTGCTTAAGTTGTTGTTTGTTCTGAAATTTGGTGTTTTTCCTTTCTTTTTATGTATTTGGCTATTTTGGATGATCTCTTGCCTGTATATGTAATTAAACAGAAAGTACTGGGTTTTTTCTCTGTTGGTGGAAAGACTAATTTCAGGGCTTTTCCATGCAGTTTTTTGTTTAAAATTTTTGTTTATTATCTGTTTGTTGTAGCCATTGTTTACTGCTATTTGTCTAATGATATTCTATTATATCTCAAAGTTGTTTTTTGATATGGGAATTTCTATTAATCTAAGTAACATACTGTGCTAAGCTGCCAATTTCTGTTGTATAGGTTCGGATGATAATTGTATATAGTCGTGTCAGTATGGTTAGTTTTATAAAATACGACAAACTCATGTTTGTTTTTAAATGTGATATTGTTTAAATTTAGAAAATTTATGGAGGTATATTCAATATAACTATGGAGTGCATTAATATAAGATTTGAATTGGTCAAGTTGTCTGTTAGGTCCTGTAAAGCATACTATTAGTTTGTCCACGTATCTCCACTAATATAAAAACTGTATGAATACAGCATGTTTTAAAAACTTTGTTTCTAGATGATCCATCAAAATATCTGATAGTAATGGAATTAGAAAACCCATGAAAATTCCTGCACTGTTAATTGCATATATTTGAGTATTAAAGCTAAAGTAGCCTTGATTTATGCAAATTTCAAGCAAGTAATATTTGCTGATGAAACCAAAATAAACTTGTTTGAGTCCAATGGAAACCACCACCGATGTGTGTGAAAAGCCGAATGAAGAACTAAAATTAAAAAAATATGAAAGCTACAGTAACTCATGGTGAAGGTGGGGTTATGATGTGGGATTGTATGTCGTTCGCAGGAGTAGGTAACATGAATTATATTGAAGGAAATATAAACCAGTACATGTATTTGGATATACTAAGACAGCATCTCGCCGCTAGTGTTTACAAATTAGGAATCAATAACAATTACCGGTTTTATTAGCACATCAATTCAAAACATACGTTATATCGGGTTCTTACTGGGTTGCTGTATAACTGCCGAAATATCATTAAAACACTAGCTCGGTCACCAGATTTAAATAGTATTGAAAATTTGTGGTTGGCATTAAAACATAAAGTAAATAGTACCCCAATATCATATCAAAATGAATTGAAAGTAAAAAATTATTGAAGCTTAGAGCACGATTTTCCCAGAGTACACTAGAAAGTAGGTCGAATCAACACCTAGACGATTGCAGGATGTAATTGATAATGAAGAAGGTTTTCCAAAATATTAGCAATCAGTTATCAATTAACTAAATTTTTAAATTTTTAAACATATTAAAATAACTAAATATTTATTGTCATTTAAGTATGGTATATTTGAAACCACAACGGTTTTCGTGGCGGGGAAGAATATCTTCACTACGGCATGGAGGGCGGAAGTGGCAACCTTTGATTTTAGGGTTTATATAGAATCAAGCTGCTGCCTTGTAGTTATAGTCGTTGGATCGTCAAAGGCTAGAGGAAGAAAACCTTGATCACAAATTACCCGTTCCTCCAGGTTGGGGGTTGTGGCATTGGACTGGTTCTCCAATACTCGTCAAAATTTTAACATACCAAAAAGCCTAAACAAAGTCTCGGAACTTTAGATGGGTTTTCAAGGAAACGACCAAAGCTAAGAAAACGGATTATGAATATTGGTATATGGAATATACAGGGGATAAAACAAAAGATTGATATCATTGTGCCTGATCTAGAACAAATGAAAACGGATATTAAAGCACTAACTGAAACAAAGAAAAAAGAAACTGGCACTGATGTGGTAGGAAATTATATACATATATTCAGTGGACACTCCGAAGTACAACTTCAATAGTTTGATAAATGATAGTACTAAACAGCTATACCAATGACGACTGGATGAAAAACTACGAGAAATAGAGAGACAAACATTTTCAGATATTTACGAGAATATTATTGCTAGTTTACACCAGGCCTCTAAGGAGACAATCGGGACACAGCGAAACAAAATTAGTAACAAAATATGGAGGAACGAAGAAATCGAATATATGGTAAAACAGAAAAAAGAACAGCATTTAAAATGGCTAAATACAAAAAATACTGAAGACCATCAAGCTTACAAAGAAACCGATAGACAACTACGAAAAATGATAAAAAAAGAAAATAATAAAACAAATAACAATACCTAGCGAACTCCCCAACACAGTCAGTACATATACAAGGAGAGGAAGCGAGGGTAGACATCGAAACAGTAAGGAAGGCTGTAATGACCCTAAAGAATGGTAAATCCGTTGGACCTAAGGGAATCTATGCTGAATTGCTTAAGAATGGAACTCATAAACTATTTGAAAACTTAACTTATGTGATCAATCAGTGTCTAAATGGACACCCAGTACCAGAACAACGGAGAACGGCATACATGTCCTCAATACACAAAAAGGGAGACAAAAGGAATTGTAATAATTATAGATGCATATCGGTAACCAGCACCCTGAGCAGACTGTATGGACGAATTTTGAGAAATATGATCGAGGAAGAATATAAGCACAAGGAAGAGGCAGAACAAAGCGGGTTCCGTGCAGGAAGATCGTGCACCGATAACGATCGTATTTTGTCTTAAACAAATAATAGAAAAAAGATCGGCTAAGAATCTAGAAACTCATATTACTTTTGTAGACCTGCAAAAAGCATATGACAACATCCCCTTAACAAAATTGTGGACAACGTTGAAAAAATCTAACATCAACCACACATTGATAAATGCTGTACAAGAACTATATAGAGCCTCAAAGGCACAGATAAAAACAGGAAAATATCTAACGGAAGAATTTCTGGTTACAAAAAGCATGCGACAGGGATGCTGTATCTTACCAACCTTATTCAAGATATAATGTTGCAGCAGCATTGGAAAGACGGAAAAGAAAGGTGCATGTGATGGATATAGAGCTTAGCAACGAATGTATATATACACTCCAGTTTGCTGATGACCAGATAGTACTAGCGACCGACAGGGAAGACATGCAGTACATGCTTAGAAAACTGATAGAAGAATATAACGACTGGGGAATGAATGTCAATACAACAAAAACCAAATATCTTTGTATTGGAAACGAGTCAGATAACATATACCTCGAAAACGGACAACATATTACCTGCTGTCAGAGCTGTGACTACTTGGGTGTTGCCTTTGACAATACAGGAACTGATATACGGGAAATTGAAAAACGAATCACTCAAGCAAAGAAAGTCTTAGGATTTCTCAATGGTATACTGTGGAGTAAAGAGATAACGAAAGGAAAAAAAATTAATATATATGAGACCATGATTAAAACTACTCTTCTTTATGGAGCTGAAACATGAAGAATTAGTGAAAAGAACAAAAAATGAATAGAAGCAGTAGAGATGGATGCAATGAGAAGATCTTTAGGTATTTCCAGACGAGACCGAATCAGAAATGATGTAATAAAACAACGTATGGGAATAGAAGAAAATATAACTCAAGATATAGAAAAGAAACCATTAAGGTGGTATGGGCATGTTCAACGGATGCCAGCGACAAGACTCCCCAAAAAAGTAGTAGAATGGCAACCGATAGTTTGAAACCCAAAAATAGCTTATGTTATCTTAGAAGACTTGTAGTAATTTAGTTTCAGTATGTAATTTTTTTCTAATAAATTTTGACTTACTAACACAAGCTAGTTGTATTGAGTAGCGACTGCATCATTTAAGCTGTGAGCCACTGTATATATTTTTTAATACCTTGTATAACAACAATATATTCTATTTTATTTAAAATGAATTATTTTCCAAGAATAAACGATTTTCTTTAAAATTGTTTTTAGATCGATAAAATTCATTTATTTATTTGGAACATATGACCAAAAATTCTGATGTCATCTGCTGGAGTAATTAGGTTATCAAGAAACTTGACCGAAATTTAGTTTCCCCATTCACCTAGTGTCTAGTACGATCGTTACATTGATTAAACTCCCCAACAAAAACAACGTTGGGTTTTTAATATTTTACATCTCCCTCGTAGCGTCGGTTTAATTTTAATATAATAATTTATGTTAATAATTAAGTTGTGCGTTTATAAAGAGTATTAAAGTTATAAATTTTTGTTTAAATTTCCATTTGTTTCCAGGGTAAGAAAAAAATCAATGTTAGGCAACGACGCCGAAATGTGCAACATCTAACAGCGCGCATCGGACGACGAGCGTCCCCGACACATATTCTCGTTTCCACCGTATTCAGTCGAGTTCAAAACGTAAACGCGCTCCAGAGCGGTAGTCCCCCAGGAAGCCCTATGCGATATCCTAGGTGAAATAGAAGAAACAACCGCGTGAATGCCTTCGTTTGGCACAAAATGTCGTCTACCGGTGAGGACGTGCCCGTCAACCTTACCATTCCCGAAATCCACGATACTTGCCTCGACGACAGAAAGTACTGGTGCTTCTTGCTCTCCTCCATTTGTACTTTTATCGCGGGCTTGCTCATTGTGCTCGTGTGGAGATTGTTTGCGTTTCTGTGTTGTAGAAAGGATCCTGAATTGGGGCCCAATGATCCCAAACAGAAGGAACAGAAGGCTGCCAGACAGGGGAAACAAGAATTCGAAGGGACTTTTATGACAGAGGCCAAGGACTGGGCGGGAGAGCTGATATCTGGTCAAACGACTACTGGAAGAATATTGGTAAGAACATTTATTTACATATCTAACTTTTAAGTATTAAGTCATCAATTAAAAATTAAAAGACATACAAAATTTGTCGATATTCACTATTATGTCAAAAGGTCACTACACTTCGCAGTACACATTCCATTAGGCTAAAATCTTTATGACAACATAAAACAAGTTTTTATTTCAATAGATTAATATTATTATTCTATCTTTAAGGTATTTTTATACAGTAGGATTGTTTAAATTCCTCTATTTTCGTTATGTGGACAAATAAACCAATTTTTTTTCAAAAGGGCGTATTTTTCAACTGTTTAAAATTAATTTGTTTACAAAGTCGTTTGTTAATACAATTATAAGTCATTAAAACCAAAAATTTTGATATTTTAAAATTATATACAAAAAAGATTCTCTCATGAATAATCGAAAAACATCAACTGATAGTCCTGGCAATATACAAGAAAATAATCTTGCGTCTAGCTTTCTTTTATATAAGCTCGCCTTGTTTTCTTTCTTGTCTCAATTATTGTCACATGATATATTCCTCGGTTTGCTATTTTTTTTATGACTTGACTTGCATGAAATCGCTTTTTCGAAATTTTGTAGTTTTTCTTATGTATTTATTCCATTTTGTTTTGTTATTCAATTATTTTTATATTATCCATATTTTTTTACAGTTCTCTATCTTTCTTCGTTCTTTTTCTTGATAATGAGGTTTTGTTTTCATATTTTTTAGACAATTTATATATATATTATATATATATATATATATATATATATATATATATATATATATATATAGTATAGTACAGGTTGTTTACAACTGTCGTTGTTTTCCTGTCCCTAGTTTCCATCGTTTCCTATCTCGGGTGTCGGCTTCATTTAGCTGTCTTCCTTCCATGGCTTCATTCACGTCATCTCGCCAGCTTCTTCTTGGACGCCCTCTTTTCCTTCTTTCGGTTGGGATCCATTTTAATATTTTCTTTGGCCACTCTCGTCTGCCATTCTGTTATGACCGAACCAAGTTAGTTGATTTTTCTGGACTTCATCTATAATGTCTTTTTCTTGCTCCATTCTACGTTTTATTTCTTCATTTCGGATTCTGTCCATCCTTGTCAATCTACAGCTTTTTCTCATAAAATCCATCTCGGTAGCTTGTAATTTTTTCTTGTTTCTTTTACTAGTGTCCCATATCTCTGCTCCGTATGTTAACACCAGCTCAACCATCGTCTTATATATTCGTTTTTTCGTCGTTCTTGTGATTTTTTTATCCCAGAGAATGGAGTTTAGGCATTTGGTAATGTTTTTGCCTTTGTTCATTCTTGTATTTATTTCTTCATGGCTATTTCCGTCTTTTGTAAACACTACTCCTAAGTATTTTACTTTATTTGTTCCTTTGATTTTGTCACTCTCCAATCTCAGGTCTTCGACTGTATTTTTCCCCACTGAGAGATATTCGCATTTTTGTAAGTTCATTGTCAGTCCACATTCTTCGTACGCTGTTTGTAGTTTCCTAACCATATAGCTGAGATCGTCTATATCTTCTGCTACCACCAGTTGGTCATCAGCGAAGAATAGTGTATAGAGAATATCCTCATCTATTTGTATTCCCATATTTCTGCATTGTCTTTGCCACTTTTGTAGAGATCGATCCAGATATATTTTAAACAGCGTAGGTGATAAACAACATCCCTGTCGTAGCCCTTTCGTAGTGTTGAATTTCTCACTAAGTTTGCCACCTATTTTAATTGATGCGGTGTTGTTTACATACCACTTTTGAGTTGCTATTATTAACGAAGGTTTTATTTCCATGTTTTGCATTTCACTCCATAAATTATTTATCGGCACGTTATCATATGCCTTTTCAAGATCTATCAGGGCTATATGTATTTCTTTGTTTCTTTGTTGTCGCTTTTAGATTAATATTTTAAGTGTAAATAGATTATCTATAGTCGATCTTCCAGCTCTGAATCCGCATTGTTCTTCTGGTTGTTTCATACATATGTCTTCTTCTATGAGGTTTCTAAGTATTCGGGAGTACAGTCGTCCTATAGTGGGGATGACAGAAATTCCTTTATAGTTTCTGACATTGTTTCGTGCTCCTTTTTTGTATATTGGGGTTATATAGGCCTCACGCCATTCTAACGGGGTCTCTTCTCCATTCAGGCATCGTTGGAACAGATCTTTGAGCATTTCCCAAAGTTTAGCTGAGCCGTATTTAATAAATTCTGGTGAGATGTTTCCTGGGCCTGGCGCTTTTTTAAGTTTAAAAGATCTTATCGCTTCTACGACAATTTTTTAATTTGTGTAAAACTAAAAGCAATGTATCTCGTGTAACACATGATCTATCATATATAATAATAATATGATATATCTAACAACTATTTTATAATTTCTTAAATTTGTTTTTATTAAACACAATCTCATTTATTTTTATATTTTTAGTAGTATCGAATGTTCCCTATCTGTGATAATAATTATTGTACTCCATTCTTTTCAATATCTACATTTTTTGCCCAATCCGACACTCAATAATTTGCTTTTTTTGTTTGCATAGTTTCCCCAGTTTCTTCTGTGTCTTCTTCTGCCTTTGTGTTATAAAAGTTCAGCTTGTAATTATTTTAAATATGTTCTAAATGTTTTTTGTGTTTTGTTTTCTCTATTTAGCTTTTCCCATATTTCTATATGTTTCTCTTCTTTCATCCAATCTAGTTACATTTGTTCCAAGTCTGATTTTAACGCTTTTTCGTTTTAGTTCATATATATTTTTATATTCATCTCCTGTTGGTCATGACTGTTTCCATTAAATGAAGAGACAAGCGCATGAAGGGTCTATGTGACGTCTATGTGTCTATGGGTCTATGTGAATTTGCAAGTTATTGAGAAAAATGAAGTTAAAGTTTGTATACTAGAATTTTTTTACTATAAGATCTAAATAGACTAAATTTATAAGATCGGTAGTCCTAAAATTTCTTCTTCTTCTTTTTCCTTTTAATATGTAGGCTTTAAAGCCTGTTTCTTCTTCAATATTAGCCTCCTAAATTGTTTAAATTGTCATACCGTCTTTTTCTTGGTCTGCCAATACTTCTTCGTCCATTTGGTGTCTTATCTCATGCTATTAGTACTATTCTATCCTCTGTCATTCTACTGATATGTTCGTTCCACTTCTGTTTTCGTTTTGTCACCCATCCATTTATGTCTTCTATATTGCATGCTCGTCTTATGTTTTCGCTTCTCTCCCTATCCAATAAACTTCTCCCTGATCTTCGTCAGAGTATTTTCATCTCTGTTGTCTCTAGCAGTCGTCTCGTTTTAGATGTGTCAGGTCTTGTCTCCGCCGTGCATTTTATTATAGATCTAATTGCTGCTTTATAGATTCTTGTTTTTGTGTCTTAGGTGTTTGTTCTCCAGATTGTGTCATTAAGAGAACCCGCCGCTTACCTAGCTTTTAAGCTTTATTCTCGTACTTCTTCTTCAATATCTCCGTAACTAGTTATATCTATTCCCAGATATCTAAACCTTGCTTCCTCCTTTATTATTTTCCCATCAATTTAGATTTTACACCGTAGTGGGTATTTAGATGTTGTCATACATTTCGTGTTGTCTGCGATATTATCATATTGTATTTCTTGGATGTTGTATTGAAGATATGTGTTAATCTTTGGAGCTCGTCTTCTCTCTCGGCGAGTAATGCGGCGTCGTCTGCATAACATAATATTTGGATTTCTTTGTTCCCCATTCTGTAGCTAAGAACTTTACGTACTTCTTGTATTATTTCGTCCATTATTATATTAAAGAGAAGTGGGCTTAACGAGTCAGCCTGTCTGACTCCGCTTTGTACTGGTATACAATGTGTTAGTTTTCCACTTATCTTTGCCTGTATTCGATTTTGGAGGTAGATGTTTTCGATGGTTTGTATAATATTGATTGATATATTTCTTTTATACAGTAGGTGTAAGACATCAGGTCTATAAAACATATATGCAAAAAATATTAGTTTTTGTATAAGTTTTGTCATCTCTAGGATTATACTTTCTCCTCCATATTTTAGAAGCTCGTTGGTTATTTCGTCTGGTACTGGTGACTTTCTATTTTTGAGCGAATTTATAACTATTTCTACTTCCTGAAAACTGATTTTTATTTCGTGTCTTAATTCAGGTACGTTATTGTGTTGATTATTATTTTCTTTTGCTTTAAACAGTTCCGTCAGGTATCTTTCCCATTCGTTTGCTGGTCTTCTTCTTAGGGTGTCTGTCCGTTCCGAACGTTGGCGATTATTCTGGATATTATTCGTTTGCTGGTATGTTATTATATTCCTTCAGTGCTGCCATTTCTTTCCGTTAGTTTCTTATAAATCTCCATATTTATTTTGTGTACCATAGAAGTAGCTTTCCATCCTTTTTGTAAACTTTTCCCAGTGTTTATTTTTTGTTCTTCTTACTAACTGCTATGTTTCATTTCGTATTCTTCTATAGCTGTCTCGGGATTTTGGGGTATTTGATGTTTTGTACTTCCTGTAGGCCTCTCGTTTCTCTTTACATTTCTCTTTTATTTTTTTTTGAACCATGGTGTATTGGTGTTGTTTCTTTTGTTTATTATGACTTTGCGTTCTTCTAGAGCTTCTGTTGCTGCTGCTTCAATGTTAATTTTAATTTTCTCCCAGCTCGCGTTTATATCTTCGATGTCGTCTGTCGATGTCGAGGTATTTGTTTTAGCTGTATCTTCTGTGCTAGCCTCCTTTGGTACATTTCTCTTGTAGAGTCGTTCCACAGTGATTCTACATTAAATTTTTCCTCGGTAATTTCCTGTAGAAATTTTTGTTTTGGTGTTATTTTCATTCTTATCTTTGCTAGTACTAGTTTGTGTTCACTCCCTGCTTCTGCTGAGTTTAACGTTCAGATATCTAGAATTTTCTTTGGGTGGATTTTTCTATTAGTGACTATAAAATCAATCATAAATTTATGCTCTCTGGAGTATTATTGATTCTGAGTTCGTTAGAAGCACAGAGATTAGCC